GAGTCTGTTCACGAGGCTCTCACACTACAGAGGTTAGAGACCATGAGTCTGTTCACGAGGCTCTCACACTACAGAGGTTACCAGGAGTCTGGTCTGACACCAGAGTTCAGTCCTCCTCACACTAAACAGTAGAGAGAGGGAGACATGAAGAAAACAACAAGCAGGCAAAAGAAAATGATCAACCTCATTTTAATTAATTGTTTTATCACAACAGACCTATGTGTGCGTGCAGATAGCAGCAGTGAAACCACAGTTTGGACAAGCTTTTATCTTATTAATCCAACATTAGGCCATTAAAAGTGTTCTTTGTATCTTACATTAAACTTTACTTCAGAGTAGTCACTTTAAATCTATTTAATCTCCCCTCCACATGGTTCAGACCTCATTATATTCAGCCTGTCTTGGTAATTTGAGTGCTGTGAAAGCTGCTCTCTATTGACAGCTGCTGAATCGTTGCACGTCTGTTATCTGTAGACGGATGCTCTGCAGGGCTGATTCACGACTTCTCAGTTATGACAGCACACTTCCTCATAGCTCAGATGAGACACAGCTGCTCAAATGAATACTTTATGCACTCAGCAGAAAAACAAAAGACTGCTGTGACTTGAAACCGTTTTGACTTTTCTCCTAATTATTACTCACATTTACTTTCTGCACCTAGTAGGTGACTTTCATTTCTTCCTTCAGTATAGGCTCTTTGAGATGTTTTAATGGAGTGATCCCACAGACCGGTCTGTCGTTATAAATCATAAATCATTTAATGTGTGATGGATGTCTGCCTCGTGTCAATCGCAAAACATGATGAATTAACTCATTTTATTGATCCTCTTTGTGGTTAAATATTGTATTTAATGCTAAGTTAGTGTGTGGCGGGCTAACTTTGACCCCACTCAGAATGTGTCAGAGCCTCATGTGGGAGTTGTGTCACAGTGTCGTGACTTGTGTGTTTGAAACTCCTACAGGAGGATGTTTTGAAAGAGTGTGGTTAAAAGAAAGTGTGAGAAAACACAAAATATGACAAACATTAAGTTCTCAAGACTTCATTTGTGTGGGCCAAATCAATTCAATGTCTATTTTATTTAAAATGACAGATTTAATTTAATTAACTAATTAACTTATCTCTGCTATAAAGTGTGTCGTATCTTCCTCTGTCTGAGCTGTGAGGCTAAGAAAGGATGAGAACCTCCTATAAATTACATTTAGGTCTAAATATTATGTAGGGCTGCACAACATTGGAAAAAACAGATGTATATTGTGAAATGAAAACATACAGGAGTTTTAAAACAGATGACTTGAATAAAACTAAGTTGTGTTGCACCTTGCCTCTTTTCTGTGCACATCACAACTGTCTGTATTTGAGTTGTTCTTGTTATTTTCTGTTGTGCTGGGACCTATGGACATATTTCCTTCTCTGAAGTGAAATAGTGTTTTACTACCGAACATGTTGCATCTGTGTTTCTTAGTTTCCATTTCCGTCACTTTTTAAACCATATTTGACCTCTTGTCTTCCACTTCTCTGCAAATTTCCTCATCTTCCTCTTTTTCATCAAGATCCCAGTCATCTTTCTCCACAGCTTGAGATTAGGCCTGTGTATTGACAAGAATTTGGTGATATGATACATATCATGACAGAGGGGTCACGATACGTTATATCCTGATATATTGTGATACTGTAAACAAGGTGATGTATTGCAATTGTTTTTGTCCAAAAATTCTATTAAATAAAAACCTCTTACTGGAAAAATAATAATAAAAAAAGAAAAACCAAAATTCATTGTCTCAGAAAATTCTAATATTACAGACATACTTTTGATACATTTAGCTGTGTTCTGCTTTGTATGTGTT